TCAAGAATTGCTGCATCGTGGGCATAGCAGGTACACAAGTGGCTACGGATAGTCCTTGTGCTCAGGATCGCCTTGGTCGATTTCTTCGGTCCCAGTGGGGTCGCAGCGGAGGGAACGTTGGTAGGCCTACGGGAGTGGCACTGCTCGCGCGGGACACGTTTTTTTCGCCCAGGCACGTGAGACGTATATGGACGCTTTCTGGCGATATTGCGGGTCGCATCGGCGCTGTTCGGGAGAAGCCAAAGTGCTTGGACGCTGACATCATAGTGGCAGACGCCCCTGTGGAACCACCAAGGCTGGAGGTCGTGTTGCTGCTGTCAAGTTCTGCCTGGCTTTCTGGGGCGCGCTGGAAGGGGAATTCTCAACGAGCTTCCTGCGCGTCCGGTGCCCGTCATGTTTTTGGACGCGAAAGCTAGGGTTGGCAGTGGGTTGAGCGTGGCGCTGGGGACACAGCGTCGATCAGGAGAATACCAACGGAGGCTACTTCAGGGAGACGTTGGAGGAACACCACCAGCGCGCGGTGAACACTTTTTTTGAATGCCGCCCGACAGATTACCATGGGCATGGAAGTTCAACGGCCAGAGTTGATTACATTTGCAGTACGAGAGATGTGGGAGGGCGTGCTACTGCATGCAGAGTTTGGGAACGTGCGGGAGAGGCGCTTCAGCTCATCAGCGCGAGGACTCGGGGGGGAACCGCTATCTTGCAGTGGCAGTTCTACTGTTCGGGCCTTCCTTTCTAGCGAATGAGGATCGTGTAAGCGTGGGATCGTACCAAACTGAGTCGTGCAGTTGTGTTTGGAGGGGATAGGCATGCCTTCTTGACTGGGGTCGATCGTGTTGTCGGCCAGGTGGCGATCGACGCGGAGACGCCAACGAGGCAGAGCACGGGCTCGATGCACCTGGAGTTCCACATGGCACTGATGCCAGTAACCCTTGCGAATGCCACAAATGCTGAGAGGCCACAATGCGCGAAAGATGCTTTGCTGCTGCGCACCGAGCGAAGGCTGCAACTGAGAGCCTCGCGTTCTCGTCCTGTTCTGTCTCTTCCCTCTCCCTTCCCCTTGTTTCGTCTTATGTCTTGCTTGATTTACTCCCCCTCACCTTTTGTGGCGCGCTCGTTTGTGTTTGCAAGCAATATTGGGAGTGTTTGGCCGATGTGCGTGAGCTTGCTATGCATCAGACTCTGTGTCGGCTCCCTGACCGCGCTGTGAGATATTTCACGCGACTTGACAGGAACCGTCATCTCGGGCTGCGGGTGTCTGAGCTTGGAAATTCCTTGGGCGAGCGGTCCTTTGCGGTCTCCCGGAAATGAACTCGCAAGCTGAGTGGGAAGGCGCTCGCGCCCAAGCTGCGCCTGTATTCGGCCCTCAGCATACACTTAGATTGCGAGACTTGGCCAAGCCTCCCGTCGAGGCCAGGCTTAGTGCAAGATGAACGACTCACTCGCGAGTCGTCAGAGGGCGACTTGCAAGATGCCAACGCAGCAGCGAAAGAGGTGCACCGAAAAAACAACCGGGATCCTTTCGACGTGCTAAGTTACGCCGTGCACCCCCGTCGCGGTCCATGCCTGCTGGTGCTTGGCGCATTTTATTCTGACCCGAGGAGTATAAGGCACGGGCGAGAGCAGGTCTAGGCGCGGAGACAGAGAGCTCGGACTTGCTGGCGATTAGACACGACTGTTCGCAACTTTCGTAGCTGTGAGATTTCATGTGGGAGCGCCACTGGTTTGGCATTGCAGTCAGGCCTTTACGGTCAGTAAGGCTAACGAGAATGCTGACTGCGCAGGGCTTCGCCTGGCTCATAGTTTTAGATCCGTTCGGGATGCCGTTCTGCAAGTACCTTTGGAAAGCTAGCCCTGTATTGTCGCGCGAAGCCTCTAGGTATCGTGCGCATGGATACCTTGAGAACCGGCGGAGGTATGGATCCACCCTAGTGCGCAGCCTTGCGCCATAACGTTTACGAGGATCGGGTTTAAGTTCCAGCGCGGGTTTTTACGACGCGACGAACGCGTTCCACGGTGCGTCGCACGATATGCTGATGATGTGTATCCGCTTGCACGCGGACGAGTTTGCGACTGCGCTCGTCGCAGAGAGATTAGGGCAAGGCCGCGTCAGCCTAGCGTGGGTCGACGGCTATTGAGAGATGGGCATAGGGTCTGGCATTCGTCCTGGGGAGTCTATCGCGTGCTTATGGCTCCTGGGCCCGTATCATTGGTCCGTTGATCGGGTTGGGCGCGCCGAGCGTCTCGGGCTTAGCGCGACAGCCTCCCGGTGGAGGCGCTGTCTGGCGGGCGGCGCGCACCGTCGTGTCCGCCTCTGTTTCTGGCCGCGCCAGCCGATCGATGCGTCTCTGACAGCGTTCCCTGACGATCTGGCTAGGACTCGGCTCGCGCGCTCGCTCGAGGGTATGATCAGGCTCAACAAAACCAACGCAGAACATGTCGCAGCCAGATTAGGCATCGCCTGCGTTCAGGCCAACCCGAGCAAGCAGGACTTTTTTGCGCGCCTTCGAGGTAGAGGCACCACTGCTGCACGACGTCGCCCTTCTGGAAGGAGGTCACACAGGGGAAGGGCATCTGGGGACTGGGGGGCGGAGAGGAGATCGCTGGCAAAGACGCGCGCGCTCGCAGGTATCGCGGGCCGTTTCTTCAGGCGGACGGCAGCCCAGCTTCTGAGATCCCACGGCGCGCGCAGAAAGCTCGGCAGGGGCGTCAGCTCGTGCAGGGGGTCTGGCAGCACTGCGCCAACAAGCGTTGGAAGAGTATTGCGTGTCGTTCTGCGATCGAGGGATCGCCGGTGTCTGCTTTGGTTGCCTGCGTTCTGCGTAGCGACAGCGGGTCTAAGCTGGGCGGCGCGTAGGCCGCCATGTCACGCGGCTTGCTGAGGGGGAAGGCTAGCGGTAAGCATCAGGAAGAGGAGGGGGTCCAGTTCTGTGCCATGACTAGTACAAGGTCCTTTCTCAGTTGAGGCTCACGCCTGATTCGCTTGCGCTTCGCGCGCGGAGATTGAAGTGGATGCAAGACATAGCGAGACGGCCACTCTGCAACGCGCGAATTATTGGGGCGATGTTTACTGAGAGTTGCTGGGAGGAACCAGAGTTCAGAACCTTGGGCGGGGAGGGGTGCCGCGCGGGGCCTGTTCGGACCTGGTGGTGGCAGTTTCAAGCCGATGTTGCTGATCCTTTTCGTGTTTGCGAGCGCCTGCAGCTCGTTGAGCATGTGCGCGCGCGACCTGTTGCGATGTTTTGCGACGAAGACGTGCGACGTGATTTCCTCTCCGCTGATCCTCGTGTTCTCGTCAGTGAATACCTAGGTCAACAGATGCCACCCTCCGTGTGATGGGGTGCCTCTCCTCCCTCCCCTCCCCCGCCTCCTCCGCCCCCTCCTGCCCCTGGCTTCGTCTGTGGTCTCAGTCTGGGGGGGGGGGGAAGGTATCTGTAGTGCTGTGTACCCCACTAGGCGTCAGCTCCTTCTTCACCAAGTCAACTCATAGCTTCCTAAACGCGGATTTACAGATCTTGCTCGTGTGGTTACTGCTTCTGGCGCCTTTTATACTGCGTGGGAATATGTGTGCCACCAAAAGAACCGCTCGCGACCATCGCTTTCGTAGTCTGGTTGATAAGAAATGCCCGAGGTCTTGAAATTCTGCTACGGTATTCGATCGCGGTGTTGCTCATTCCTACGAGTGTCTGATGTGCAGGGTGTCTTTCTGTAGCTATTCGGAGGCTGCGTGGCATCTGCGTGATCACGTACCCTTAGAAAATACATATTCTCGAACTCTAAGCACGTCCCAGCCACAATGGTCTTCTGTCTTCGGCAAGGTGGGTACGAAGTCTGCTGCCGCTGCTGCTGGCCCAGCTGTTCAGGTTCGCAATCTCACTTCCATGAAAGATGGCAGCACGTAGAACAAAGCCGACCTCGCCCTCAAGCTAGGCGTCACCAGCTCCCTGAGGAACCGCCTCTTTGAGGCGGCGTGCGCAACGCAATTCACGACCCAGGTTGCCGATCCCTTCTACCAAGCCATGAAGTGCGCATTTGAGACTGAGCACACTCCCCGTGTCAAGGGCCAGAAAGGGCACGGCTTGGACGCGCCTGACAGTTTCATCTTCACTGGTGCTGTAGTCACAGTGATGCAACGCGCTGCGCCAGAGCAGCAGGCAGTGCTTGGCAAGTTTTTCGATCATTTTGTTGCAGGCAGTCAGCCCTCCCAGCTCCTTGTCAGGCTTTTCGCACGGAGCTAATATTTGATTCTAAAGTGCGCAGACTGATGGTAGCCACCAACGATCCCATGCTTGAGGCCACGTTGGTCCAGAATCTAATGTCTTCGAAAGAAGAGGCCACTGTCTCCGCTGGCCCGAGGCCCGCGGGCTACATTGAGCTCGAGGGGCAAGGGTTGATTGCTTCTTGAGTGCGCAGCAGCCTCAAGAGTTCTGCCGTGCGCCGGCGTCTGCCGACGGGCACCGTCGCTGGCACCCTCCAGTTGTGGAGAGCCGAAAGCTTGATACGAGGGGGGGTCCCCAAACATCTCCCAAGTCCATCCGACCCTTGGACTCAGCGGAACGATACCGATACCTCCTCCTCCTCCTCCTCCTCCTCCTCCTCCTCCTCCTCCTCCTCCTCCTCCTCCTCCTCCTCCTCCTCCTCCTCCTCCTCCTCCTTCCTCCTCCTCCTCCTCCTCCTCCTCCTCCTCCTCCTCCTCCTCCTCCTCCTCCTCCTCCTCCTCCTCTTCGGCGCCTCCAAGCTGAACGGCTCAGGAGCGTGCGGCTTACCGCCGCCACGACTCGAGGAGGATTCTCTTCGTTTTCGTTTCGCTTCTTGTCCGCTTGCTCTCTTCTCGTCCCTTTCAGTCGGGTGTCCTCCCACTCCTCGTCTTCCTTCTCCCCCTCCTCTCTCTTTGACGTTGCGCGGACATCATGCAACATCACGGAGCGTTAAAATCCTCCTCCTCCTCCTTTTTCTCCTTCTCCTCCCCTCCCTGACATTGGACCTGCTCTGGCTCGAGCACTCTGGCCGCGCGGCGCGCGTTCGCGCGCGCGCCTGTTGGCCGTGCCCCGCGCCCCGGGCCCTCGCCGCGCGACGCCCGGCCGTCTGGCGGAGCAGCCGCCGCCGCTGCGGCCGGCATCGGCGACTCGAGGCGCAGTACACCTTAGGCGATGCTTAAGAAAACTTAAATTTTCGGCCAGAGTCTCGATTATTCTTAATGTTTCAATGTAAATCCTAAGATTTGAATGGAAATTTTGGGTTTTTATGAAAGTTCTGAGACTATGAATTTCTTAACCCATGATTTCTTAAGCATTTCGTAGGGTGTATCGTTTCACCGATCCCCATCCCGAGGTTTCGAGTAGGGCCGAGGGTCAGAGAGCGCCTTGCCCTGCAGGACCACCAAAAGTTGCGGTCAGGGTGGTCAGACGTCTCGCCGGTGAAGCCGACGAGGATGTTCAAGTTGCAACATGTCCAGAGTTTTGGTTTGACGCCGGCAGTGTCGCGAGCCTGACCGAACAGGTTGGTTGTGCCCCTTGACGTCGGTTTGGGGTGCTTCGCAGACCTGACCCCCCAGCCCTACTCCACCCAAGGCCCTCATCTCGACGAGAGGTTTATCGCTGTTTTCGGCCTCTTGGGGCCCGTGCCAGGCCCTGGGACCGTCAGAAAATGGTTCGGGATGAGCAACCAGCCCCAGGGAAGGGGTTCAGACCTCTGGAGGTCGACGTGAAGAAAAGCAAAAGCAGCCCCACCTCCCCACAATCCCAGTTGGGGATAAGCCCCACGAGACCCGAAAAGTAACGCCTTTCATCCTATACCCCCATCTACTGGGGTAATGAATCGGCCAGCGGGGCCCAGGCCACGCCAGTGGGGATAGGGATAGGTGCAACTTCATTCAGAGGCGGAGAAGCGGCCGCCATGGACCTGAGAGTCGAGAGCGGAGATCGGGGGGAGGAGGCGAGTCAGAGGAGGAACAGGCACCGACCCCGCCACTCTTCCCTCGTTGTCGCCCTTCCGGGCCTTCTGCGAGGCCCTCGTAGCCACGGCGGGATTCGCCTGGAAATTCTTTCCAGGGCGTAGGCCAGGAGTGGTCGGGCGACGAGATCTACACTTGTCCGCTGCCCCTGGTCAGGACCCCAGGAGCATGTGACGCCCTGATGTTTTGAATACGCGGCCACCCGGAATCTGGACCCTTTCCTTGAGGCGTCCTTTGCATCCCGAGTCGTCTTTAAATTTTAGACGGTCCACGGGGCCTAGCGAAGGCCCCCAGGGGCCGAAAACGAGGACAAGTTTCAATCTCGGCCACGCGGGGTAGGGGAAGGGGGAAAAGCTTCTTAGGAGCACCCCTGCTTCTCGGAAGGCGCGGGCCCTGTCTGTACATGTGAGGCCGGCTCCCCAAATTCAAAGTTGGCATGCGCGGAGGAGATTGCGGTCGAAGTGCAACTCATCAGACCCACCGCCAACTTTGAACATTGGGGGAGGGGGAGGCGTTGACCGATGAATGTGGCACGAGTGTTCGTTTTTTTTTCCGAGGCCGACTACCCCCTGGTGCGCGCCGCCTGGAACCTCCATTGCTTCACGACGCGAGCATGACTCGGAATGCCTCCCTGGCCGGGCCGGCAGTGCTGCGGGCGCCTTCTAAGAAGCAGCCTCTTTCTAAGAAGCTCCCCCCCTCCCACTACCCCATTTGTGCACGCCGCCGAAAAACTCCGTGGTTCACGACGCGAGCATGTCTCGGCGGCGAGCGAGCGAGGGGGAGAGGTGAAAAGTTGAATGCCTTCACAGGAGGCTCGGAAGTCCCCACCCTTCTGATGAGTTTTCTAAGCCTTCCCGAAGACAGAAGCCACCACTCAGAAAGCGAGGGGGCTTCTGAGAAGTCCCGCCGCCTTCTGAGAAGGCCTTCTCCCTCTCATTTCCCCCCTCGCCCGCCGCCAAATGTCTGAGAATGCCTCCCCAGCCGGTCCGGGCGGGCGCGGCTCGCGGCGCTTCCGGGCGGGACGCCAGCTGCTCAAACACCCCCCGGGAAGGGGGCGGGACCTCTGAGGCGGCGGATTGGAAAACTCATGTCGGAGGATGTCTGGGGTAGTACAGCATCCCAGGCTTCCGAGGTGGAGTCGGAGTAACTAGCCGGGGTTGGAGGATGGCGCCGCATCGCCGATGCATCGGCCATGCGGCTCGAGGTGGAGCCCGATCTCGAGATTCTCCACGCCGACGGCGCCGATGCATCGCCCACTCTTCCGATGCATTGGCGATTCATTGGCGATGCACGAGGAGGAGAAGGAGGAGGAGGAGGACGATGCGGCGCGATCCCCCGACCCCAGCTACGTGTACCGCATCTAGGAGGCCCCTAGAAATGCCATCCCCGCGCGGCGTCGAAGCCCATTCGACTCGATCGCGTAGGGCAACACGAGCGGTTCAGTTTCCTCCTTCGTTCAGTGTGTTAGGATTCAAACAAATCAACAACCCAGAACCCAGACCTCCTCGCGCTTAAAACAAAAAATCACGACGGGAGTTTTGCCGTTTTTTTCTGCCTCCGGGGGCCCTTACAGGGCCGCAGGACCGGGGAAAGGATCCAGACCTTTGGGGTGCGATGTTATGAATTTTCGCGACGTCGGGGGTCTGGGATTTTACCGAGTCGCCCACCCAGGACCCAGATCTCCCCGCCGCAGGGCAGTCTTTGAGCTGGTACAAAAAGTGCACACGCCGAGCTCCTGGGCCCAGAGTCGGCCTGGACAGGGGGGCACTGGATGCCCAGAGATCCGACGTAGCGAACACATGCAACATCGTGAAGAATCGCGAAGAGAAACCCGGACCCCATCTGTGCGCCGTTTTTCGAGCCAGATCAAAATGAGGGCCCGGGGGCCCGACACGCAGCAAAAACGCCCAGCTCGATAAAATTGAGGCGCCAGGATCTAAGGGTTTTGTCGCATGGCTTCCGAACCGATACTCGTGCCGCTGGCGGCAGTTCGGGACGATCCCAGCACCCCTGGGACGCCCTCGACGAGGCCGCTCTGGGCCTCGAAGACAATCGAAACCGCCAAGCAAGCCATCGCTCTGAGCCGACCCCCCCCCCAAGCGACGCCCGTGCGCTTGGGCCACCCTCGCCGCCCGGCTTTACCAGCCTGGAACATATCCCCATCCCTATGCTGGGCACCTCCTCATTACGATGCCAGCCTTAGGGGTTCCCTTATTTTTTGAGGGCGGATCCCTGAGATTGTCATCGCCTTCTGGCGTGCCAATCTTGGGGACAGGGATACGTTCGAGGCTGGTGATGGCTGGCCTGCGCCCGCACCGCGGACGACCCCATGGCGCGTGCGCGGGTCTCCTGCCTTCCTCGGGCGGGGGTACAGTCGGGGCGTCGACCCAAGGAACCCTAAATAAGGAACGAGGTCCCTTTTTGTTCCATGGGTCAAACCATGATTTTCCATCGAACAAACACGCGGAACACCTGAGATAAGCTGCGAAACGATCCAGGAACGCGGAGCCCCTCCCCAACGAAAAGGGCTCCTTCTTCAGCGACCCGACTGTAAGCGGGCGGGGCGCACCGACTGCCACGCCTCCCACGCAGCCCTCGACGACGACGACGACGACGACGACGACGACGACGACGACGACGACGACGACGACGACGACGACGACGACGTCGACGACGTCGTCGTCGTCGTCGCGCAGGCCAGCGGCCAGCCAGGCGGCGATGGTGGCCCAAGCTAGCGGGCGTCGTTTGGGGGGGCGTCGGCTCAGAAAGGGGGTCCCCGATCGCTTTCCCAGCTTGTTCGATTGCTTTCGAGGCCCGGGGTGGTGTTCGTCGGTGGCGCCTCGTCGAGGGCGTTCCGGGGGTGCCCAGAGCATCCCGAAGGGCCGCTGACAGCCCGAGTCAGGACCCGAAGGCCACCACGGGACGGGCTCAGAGGGGGCCGCATCGCCCCCCAATCGCCCATTGATCGCCAATATTCTGGGGTCCTGATGTCCCACCTTACCCAGGACCATACGGTTTCGCCATCGGGGGCTCATCGCAAATCTATCGGCGAGGGGTCGCAGATGCTTTCGCCCCTGGCCCAGTCCCACCCGAACGTTCCACATCACAAGTGGCCCCCAGGGCTGCCGTAAGAGAGCCTCAGGCTGCCCCCAAGTGGCACGAGAGCCACACGTGGGGCTGTCTTGGGGCTCCGTTCGGGCCTTCGGGGCCTTTTTAAGGGCCTGGAGCTCTCTTGGGCCACCCTGGAGGGTTCTCTTGGGCCGTCCCAGGGCGCTCTTTGGGCCGCCTGGCGTCCTCGGAGGACATGCCTTGGGCGCCGTCTCGGGGTTCTTTGGCGCCGTCTTGTGGGGTCCCTCTTTGGGCCATATGCCCAGACTCCCCCGCGCTGTGAACAAATCACGACGGGGGGGGGGGGTCGCTACTTTCGGCCTCCAGGGACCCTTACAGGGCCTCGGGATTGTCAAACAATGATTCAGGATGACAAACCAGTCCCTGGGAAGGGGTCCCGACCTCTGGGGGTCGATCTGAACAAGTCACGACGTCGGGGGTCCGGGTTTGAGTCCTGGCCGTCCTGGGCTGTCGGACGCCTGGGAGGGCGAGAACGTCACGAACCATGGAACACATCGTGGAACATCGATGACGCTTGCCAGCGTGGACCCCAAACAGGAAGTGTTAGCACGCTCTGGATGTGTGATGTGGAGGCCACGTGGTGCCAGCTGTGCCGTGCAATCTGTGTGATGCAGGTCAGGTGGCGCAGCCTCTGTGGCGCAGGCCATGTGGCGCGAGCCGGGTGGCACAGGCTGTGCGGTGGAGGCACCGTGCTGGCAGCCGTGCGGTGCAGGCTGTGTGGTGCTGGCCGTGCAGGCTGTGTGGTGCAGGCTGCCTGGTGCAGTCGGCGCGGTGCGAGACGTCCGGTGCAGCCGCACGCGGTGGCGACGCGGCGGCCACGGGGCGGCCGCGAGGCCGCCACGAGGTGGCCACGAGGCGCTCGGCAGGGCGGCCGCGGGGCGGCGACGAGGCGGCCACGAGGGGGCCTCCCCCTCCTCCTACTCCTCCTCCTCCTCCTCCTCCTCCTCCTCCTCCTCCTCCTCCCTCCTCCTCCTCCTCCTCCTCCTCCTCCTCCTCCTCCTCCTCCTCCTCCTCCTCCCCCCCTGGAGCCGCACGCCAGCGCACGGGGCGGCCGCGCGACTACCGTCGGAGGCGGGCAGACCTCCTGTCCTTCCCCTCTTGATCAATCTTTTTCGTTCTCGATTCTCCTTCTCTCCCAGTTGTCCCCCTCCCCTCTCGTTTTGGCGTTCCTTGCTCGCGGCCTCCTTCTTTTTCTGTCGGAGGTTGGTAGACCTCCTACCCTGCCACGGCGATTGAGGGATTGGCCGTGTTCGGTTCGCGAGAGGGGGTGTCGCGGCCGACCTTTCTGCGGGTGCAGGTCCGTCGGGTTCGGCCCCAGGCCGTTGTCACGAAAGGGAGGTTTGCTCAAGGGAGGCTTGTCCACCGCACCGCCCACCACGGGCGGCCACGAGCGGTGACTGCAGCCGACACGCATGCCAGGGATGGGCAACCTTCCCAGGGCCTTCCCACTTCATGTTTCTGCCTACTTCTTCCAACCGACGGGTACCCTTGCATCCTTGCCGCATCGGTCCATCCTTGGCCACCTTCGGTGGCCGCGTCCCGCTCGACACGTGTCGAGACATGGCGTTCCAAGGCTTGTTGCGTCCTTACCCATCGGTCGTTGAAACATATGTATTTTTGGATGCCCAGATTCCAATCTACTTCAGTCGCCCTCCTACTTCGTTGATCGAGTGGCTTCACCTTTTCCGTCCTCCCTCGGGGGCGGGCGGACACCCCATCTACTTTCAACGCCTTCCTTCTTCATGTTTCTATCTACGTGTTCCGACCGATGGGTGCCCTTACATCCTTGCCTCCTCGGTCCATCCTCGGCAACCTTCGGTGGCCGCGTCCCG